AAACTTGAACCAAAATATATAAAACATGCCTTATTTTTCTATTTTTCAATCCAAAATCACTTAAATTTGATAAGAAAAATAAGTACAAAAATGGACTTATCAACGAGTCAAAAGAAGTATTTTACTCTTTGGCACTACCCACAGGGATATACAACTAAGGGAGTCTAAGGCAAAAAATAAAAAAGGAAGCAATCACACAAAAGCAGAAATAAGCTAAAAACTGATGGCCGGTATTTTATACTCTTTGGCTTCATCGTCTTCTCCATCATCAGCCTCAGCTTCATCATCGGTTGGCAGTTCAGGGGTCGTGCCAGTAGCCCGTTCGATCTCCCTCTGCAAGTTCCAGCGATACTTGCCGAACTGCGCCAAGAGGACCTTGTCCTCAAAAAACTCCTCCAGCTCGACTGACCGCCCAGCAAGCCGTTCTAAGATCGGCACCATACCCTCCATGATTCGCTGATAACCAAGGACGTAGGTTTCCTTGGCCAATGCATTGACCCATTTCTTGCCAGCATCGGTCTTATCAGCCAGCTTCACCCCTTACTTCTGCCGATATGGACCTTCGGGGAGTTGCTTCAGGTGCTTCCCGAACAGGGCACCTACACGGGCGACACTGTAATCCTCGGCGGCCTTGGCAAATTCTTCGGAGGATTGGAATTCCTCCTGTGCTGATAGTTGGACATCAGACAGATCGACTGTTATTTCTCGAGGGCCGTCCGGGATTTGAGGTTCGTTTTCCTTGAAAACAACTTGGACAGCTTCAGCAGCGGCCACCTTAGATTGAGAGGTGGCAAGATCCACCCGGAGTTGGCCTAGGTCAGTTTAGAGCTTCTTTTGCTCCTGCTCAGCCGCATGAAGCACACTGGCAGTTGCTTGTTTGGCGGCATCCCGAGCTTGGATCAGGTGCCCCTCCCTTGCCAGCCGGGCTCTCTCGAGTTGGAGGTTGTAGTAGCCACCCTGAAGGAAGGACAGAAACTTAGAAAACATAAAACACCATGACCAAAAAAGTATTACGAATGAACGAACGACGATATGTTTCCCTTAAGATTGGCCAAAGTGACTCCTTCTTCAGCCTCTTCAACCGATAAAATCGGAAGGTGGAAATCGTTCAGCATGGCGGAGGTTTCCCAAATCCGGCTGGCCGGCCAGACATCATCCATTCTCAATGACCCCATGAATCGGATCTGCCAGGGTGATTGGTTCGAGGGTTTTTGAGAAGTTGGCCCGAGCGGCCTCCAAAGTGGCAGCATCCGAGGAGCCCGGAAGATCGGTAAAGAGGGGGTTGGTCTGCTGCGTCTCGAACGGTTGTTCCACCTCCATAGCTTCGAGGTTCACCTGATCAACAGGCACCTGCTGGATCGGCTCGGGCTATTGAACCGCCGGTTGCGTTGTCTTCGGTGCCGAGGTCTGGGCTGCGTTCTTGGAGGGCTTCTTCCTCTTCGCACCACCCATCTGCTCAAGGCGATCTCGGTCCATGTCAACTTCGGTGTTGGGAGCTGAAAAAGAAGAAAACGATGTTAGAACCGAGCGGTCTCAGCGTGTGTGAAACAAGCATTGAATGTAAGTTTCTCGCACGGGAAGAACCGCCAGGGCCATGGCACTTAGTTTTCAGTCAAGAATTCCAGGAATTCGGGCGGTACTTATCCCGGCTTCTACAAGCCGAACGGCGGTCAAGTAATCCATAATGTCTAGCTTCTGGGCCCTCTCCGCTGCTATAATCTTGTTTCCTAGCTCCTCGGAAACAAACGGCTTGGTGGACTTGGGTGGGTAAGCATTCCACCTCCTTGGTATAAGTCCGTCCGGGACGGAGACGAAAAAGAATCGGTCCTTCCATCCCTTGATGGAGGTAAGGTTCCCTTTAAAGAGGATCCTTCTCGTTCGGGCACTCACTGCTAGAAACCCATCAGGTCGGGCCGCCACATCGACTTCCTTACAGTGGTAAATAAACCTGGCTATGACCCGGTAGGAATTTGGCATTACTTGGGTTGGAACTATGCCATAGTGGTTGAAGAAGGCCACGAAGAAGGGATGCAGCGGGAACCTGAGCCCAACCTTGACGGAATCAAAATGCGCCACCACCATTCCAGGGCGATGGCGCAGTGGGTGGAGACCGGCATGAAGACGGAAATCAACCGGGTCGGGGATTAAGGCAGGAATTTGGGCCCTAAGTGGGCGAGAATCTTTGCCTCCGTTTTCGAATGGACCTCAAATCCAAGTGGTGGCGAGGGGTGTTGTCAGGGGGCCTCTCCTCATCACCACCATATCGTCACCGGACTTCACATTATGAGAACCGCCACCCGGGGTTTCACTAGAAGAGTCGCCGGAGTGGGTGTCTTCAGAACCGCTAGTAGAAGGGGCATCCTCGGCCACATTCTTTACGGCAGCACCGGTGCCCGCGGTATCATCTGTGGTTGTGTTCATCTCAAAACCCTGAAGTGGTTGATAATCAAAGGGCCGGAGCTATAGTATGGAGGCCACAAGTGGGAGCATGGGTGCACAAGTAGCATGGAAAGCAATCAATCATCTTGGAGCACCCCATACCCCTCACCTATCCACTCCTAGTATAAACAGCAACATCTATTTCATTGTAAGGAGTTATCATTTGTTTACTCACTAGCTTATATTGCATTCTAGCTCTTGTATTAGTTGTTGGACCGTAACTGCCGTTCGACCACTTCCTTGTAATCATAATTACTGTGTTAATACAAGCAAGACTATTTGAGTGAATCAATGAGTTTTATATTTCTTAATACACTTTCACTGTAGCAATCATATCCTAGATTCGAGGTTGGTGTTGGGCCTTCGGATCATTTGGACTTAAATTCAACGATATGCATGCACCCAAACATTAATGTAAGTGCAACGTACACAGACTAATACACACATTAAACCTGTGCTAGTGAGACATTAAAGGATCTATTCAGAAAGATTGTGAGGTCGTTTGGTAGCACTGTTTTCGGCTTATCGGGCTTATCAGCCAACTTTTTCACCAAACACGTAACTTTTGCTTTCGCGCGCTGAATTGTGTAATAAGCAGAAACAGTAAGGTTGGAGTTACTTTTTTGGCTGTATTGGCTGAAGTTACTGTAGATGACTATTTTAGCTATTTTTACATATAATTTTTTCTTTACTTTATAAATAAAAAAAAATAAAATATTTTTTTCTTAAATCACAAGAATCAGCCAATGCAGCCACTTCAACTTGAACTTCATAAATTTCAGCAAAATCAGCCAAATCAACCGATTTTCATGCTACCAAACGGGCTCTACGTGTTTTTGACAGATATTTTCTAATACGAAGTATAAACTAGTTTTATCTGTGATGAATTTGTACCAAAAGTTTACTTGATTGTTCTCTATAAGATTTACGTTGTATATATCCAATTATCCAAAATGTAAAGGGTAAACATTCCATTTTCAAAAAAATAGAATGTTAGAATCAATTGCGTACACACAAAAAAGAGTTTTTTTAGTGAAAAAAACTTAATTCATATCTGCATTAATAATGTCTAGAATCCAATGAGGAGTAAATTCAAATACCTGAAGCATAACTAGTAGATACTCTAACAAACAAAACAGATAGTTAAGAAGAGACAATGGAATACTTTTTTAGTGTATTTTCCAATCTATTATAGACTTATAGTATATGTTCTAGAAAGAAACAACACATTAAAACCCACACTGAATTAGAGACTTTGTTTATAATGATAATATATTCCATAATAATAATTATTAAAAGAGATATTACCCGAAATAGGACTAACACGATTTGAAATTCTAAAATAGGACTGCCATATTTTTATTCACAAAAAAGGACTAATTATTGTCATGTTTTGGCAGTACCAGACTTCAAACATGTCAGTATTTTCATAACATGACAGTAATTAGTCATATTTTGGGAATAAACAACATGACAATCCTATTTTGAAATTTTGAAACCATTTTAATTCTATTTCGGGAACTTTCCTAAATTAAAAATATCACTCATACAAGCGTGTTCCATTCTATCATCACAACAAATAGTGAAATCCAATTCAAATTTTCGAAATAAATCAATTATGAAATAATTTTGAAAATAATTACATATATAAAGATTGTTTAAAAAATGTGACATCTTAAATGTAATAACTATAATAATAGCTTTAGTCAAGTAACTTATATTCAATTTTTATACTTAAGAATGCTTAATTTTGGATTGTTTCCGATTCTAGATCAGACTAGACTTAAACAGATCAAATCATCAGAGCAGACCAGACTTAAACAAATCAAACCAAACCAGACTTAAACAAACCAAATCAGACCAGACTAGTCCAGACTTAAACAGACCAGACTAGCAAATTTCAGTTCAAACGAAAACATCCTAAGTGCCTATGAGACTAATATATTACTACCTCCATCCCAAACAATAAGTCTCACCTCAATTTGGATCGAAGTTTAAGAAAGTGAGAATAAAGTGGAAATGTATGGTTGTGGTTGAGTAAGAAAAAGATAAATTAATTTTATCCACACAAAACTTTCCAAAAAAGGAAATGGGAACAATTTTTTGGGACAACCCAAAAAGGAAAGTGAGACTTGTTTTATGAGACGAAGGGAGTACGTAATAATTATTAGTCATACTTTTGTAAATAAATTTCATTTCAGTAACTTTTTAAAAATCACATTAATTATTCCAGTTTTCTTATACGGAGTACAATATTGGCAAATATGGAGCATTTGCACACTACTCCATTAAGTATTGTGAATTAACATAGTTGCTTTTGCAAGCTACCATTAAGTATTACTCCCTCTGTCCCACCTTAAGGTTCCCACACGATTTACAATGTTTGACTGACCATAAAGTTAACTGATCCCTGTCATTAATAGAATTATTTTTAGTGAATAAAATTTACATATTCAGAAACAACATTAAAACCGCTATAAAACGTGCAAAAATAATTTAAATTTCATAAACTTTTGATATATAAAGTAAAAGATTAAGAACAATGCACATTGACCAGAGAATAGTGGACGGGAACCTTTAAATAGGATGGAGGGAATATGAATTTTGCATTTTGACATCAACATCATGTAATAACGTCAACCAACTCGTGTTACAGAAAAGGATTCGTTGAAACTCCAACTAGATTTTTTTCTCCACGCTTAACATCTACTTTCAGCTTAGGTAAAAGTGACAGGAATAGAAGGAAATTAAGGCATCATTACTTTGCTTAGATTACTTATGTTCAAAAGAAAAGGACTCCGTAAAAGAGAACCAAACAAACTGTTTGGACCAGACATGTTTAACATCTATTAGCATTCTTGTGCAGCCCAAGATAGCTTTTATTTATATCGAGCAAGTTAAAAAATATAACAGATGGACTCCAGTGTCAGCATTCTACTATCTTCATATTATGTCTCAAATGGATCCATTTCATGTCGTGTTTATTGCCGTGGGGAGGGAGCACAAAAGTAGAAGCAAAATATTTGGGACTTCAGACAGCTGATCTCCGTACAAAAATATATATTTTATACCACTATACCAGCCAGGACATAGCAATCTGCTGACCACCTCCCATATGGGTACAAAACAAATCCCATTATCTATCACACAGACAGCCGCAATCATAATTTTAGTTCTAACGTCATTCAATATGCCACCCTTTCGCCCTTAAACTTGCAAGTAGTACTAGGAGGAGGGTTGCATTTTTCAACACCTTGAAGATCGTCAAGACATGAAATATTATCCGCAACCTTGGTAGCTTCAGGTGTACCATCATCTCCTTCAGGACACGAGATACCATAGGTGCACTGTGGAGTTTCAAGGGGTTCAACTTGAGACAATTTCCCCGGATATTTTACATCAGGTTCCATGGATGAAAAGTCATGCAATTCAGAACTGTAATTTTCACATTCAGATCTTTGTTTCATGTTAGAATCCTTATTCTCACAGACAGTTGCAGGGAGCACATTGGATGATCCGCTGTTTTGATTTGTAATGTTACCATCAGGATCCCTATTTCTTGAGTCATGCCCGCTTAAAGGCAGCTCAATGACTGGTTCTGGTTCTTGACTCGTGGCACAGTGTTGGCGTGCTTTAACAAATACAGGGTTGTCAGATCTTTGTTTCATGTTAGAATCCTTGTTCTCACAGACAGTTGCAGGGAACACATTGGATGATCCACTGTTTTGATTTGTAAGGTTACCATCAGGATCCCTATTTCTTGAGTCATGCCCGCTTAAAGGCAGGTCATTGACTGGTTCTGGTTCTTGACTCTTGACAACAAATATTGGGTTGTCATTGGAGGTCTCATTGCTGTGGTGGTTTCCCAGAAAACAAGCACCAACATTACCAAAAAATGGCCTCACCAGCTTTCTGCGTTTCGTAGGCTTACATGCAGGATTCTTAACTATTTCATTTTCAGAAGGTATCTTTTCCTTGGACATCAAATCTCTTTTCAGTTGTCTATGATTCGGAGCTATAAATGGCATTTCTTTAACCATGGAGCTAGCTGCTATTTCAATTTCAGAAGGTATCTTCTCCGTGGACATCAAACCTCTTTTGAGTTGTCTATGCTTAGGAGCTATAGCAAGTTTTTCAGCCGCAGAACTGTCTCTATCATGAGACTTTTTCATTAAATCACTCCGACGCCCAAAATCCACCACTCGCGCCTCTTTTGGTGCACGAGAAATAACATTTTGTTCAGTGGCTTGATGCACATTCCTTTTCAGTTCATTGTCATGCTTTCCACGGGTAGTTACTTCACTGTTGTCAGGACATTTGCCCAACGGTTTGAATTTCATTTGCCTCTTCACCAGAAGTACCTGACTAAGCTGACTTTGTAGCATGCCCATGACATCATCAACAGACGTGTCTGGGACATCATCAACAGGTGTGTCCAGGAGATCATCATGACTAGTGACATAGCCAGTTTGTTTTTCTTTGAGTGAACATTTCTTAGAAGATAACCGAGAGAAGACGCTTCTTCGGTTGAATTGTCTGAACCCAGAACCTGACATCTCAGATGATAAATTGTGATAAGTTCCATCGTTCCCTGTATTTGTTTCATATAGATCACAGTTATTCTTCTGATCCATTTGTGAAAACTCATCACCCATAATCATTCCATCAGTTTCTTGCACTGCCATACACTCTCTGATACCAGGTGACAATGAAGTGCGCTCAGTGGCATATGAAGGATAACTTTTTAAATCGAAGGATAGATGGGGGAAACCTGCATTTTCCCCTTGAGGAGCAGCTTCACCTGGCCCGGCAACAGCCATAGAAGCCATATGTGGAATCTGAGAAGGTAGAACTTCATAAGAATGGAGTCCCAGATTCTTGGCATACTCAAACTCAAAATGAGATTCACGAATCCGAGGCTGTAAAGGTAGATGTGATCTTTCCATGTGATCAGCAAATGTAATATCTGGATGTCCTGTTGTGCCTCCTGCTTTTTCATGGTATGGCATACCTCTGAGACAATGAGAGTTTTTTTCATGTATTGAACTAGATCTGCCATCAACGAGATGAGATGAGAAGTTTCCATAATGAGATGTGGAAAGCTCATGATCAGATGGTTGAGCTCTTGCACTTGTCATTACACTTTGAAGTTTTGAGGGAGACGATTCAAAGTTTACTGCTTCCGTAATTCGAGAGAGAGCTGTCTCAAAAAACGACATGCCACGGTTTGGTGGAGTGATTTGCTTCGTTTCATTGTGTGAACGGTGATGCATATCAAAACTCTCCATGTAAGATGCAGCTTTTTCAGCATCGTCCATCCCATACCAGTCTGCATTAGCCTGTTGTTCGCTTACATTTTGTCCGAAAATAGATTGTTCATTTAATACAGAAGATCCAAACACAAATTTATTAGTATTTTCATGAACTCTATTGAAATTCTCCACATAGGATGCAGCTTTTTTAGCATTGTTCTTCCCATACCAGTCTGTATCGGCCCGTTGTTCAGCAGCAGTTTGGCAAAAAGTAGATTGTTCATTTGAAGCAGGCAATCCAATCAAATGTTCATCAGCATTTTTATGAAACCTATCAAAATTTTCCACATAAGATGTAGATTTGGCAGCATTCTTCTTTAAATACCAATCTGCATTGGCCCCTTCTTCGTCTACATTTTGGCAAAAAGTGGATTTTTTGTTTGAGGCATGAGATCCAAGCAGAAAATCATTAGTATTTTCACGTCCTCTTACATCCTTAACAGGAGACTGAAATCGGTTATTTCTTCGACCATGAAAGCTTGGATCCACAAAAGCATCTGGACTGTGTTCTCTTCTGTTACATCCTACTGGATGTCTAGGATCGCCGTACAATACGTCATTGCCTTGTGATGTGCTTCCAAAAGGAGCAGATGGGATATCAGAAATGGTAGCATAGTTCTTTAGATGCTTACTTTCTGTGCTATCATGAATCAATCTAATCTGACTACTGGGATTTTCTACAATCTTTCCGAGGTCACTTTTACGGTCACATGAACAAGTGTTATCCATATTGTGACGCTCTTCAAAACCACCGTTGAGCAGAGAATTTCCACTATGCGCTGCAAATCTGGTCATCCCTGACTCAAAGTTTATGTTGGATATATTTACTATCCTTTCCCTCTCCGTATCCATAGCACCATCATTTTTTCTACCAACATGGATAGGGTCAACAAGATCATTAGAATGCATACGAGATGGAAGATAATTACAATTGTCAAACGTATCATCCATCATGAACTGTCTACCCTCAGTTAACCTTATGCCTTTCATAAGAGGGCGATCATTTTGCATATTATGTGGAACATCATTAAAAAATATCCTTTCGTCATCATCTTCTCTTTTCCTACTAGGTGAATCACTATACACATTATCCTGGTATTTCCCCTCTGAAAAACAAACCCCATATTCATTGTTCATCATATCTACCCCGGGACATGTATCACTATTCCTCACAGTATCTCTATCCCAAAAGTTCCTTCGATATGCTATCACTGGAGACGACTCGAAGTCATCCTCATTGAGAAGACCAATATTGTTACTCAGTGCATGTTTCTCGTCATCAACACTACCATTTTCCCCAACTCGTTTTCTGTTTACTCTAGTCAACTGTCTAGGGGGTACCTTACCTCTTAACTTCTTTGTGCTGAACAGCAAGAGAAGATTCTGAACCTGCATAAGTAGGGACAGTTATATTTAAAAAACAAGGAAAAAACCATCCAAATTACAGTCCGTATAAAGTTCATGTAAGATATACCAGACCTGATCTCGAGATAGCCCAAAGTTGAACTTCTTTTGAGAATAGTAATTAGCACTAATTGCTTCTCGAAATTCAGGTTCAGAAAGTGGACTGCACTTCCAGATTGGGGTGAAAGAAACCTGGATAGCAGAACACAACATACAGACACTACACATATGAAATATCCTACAAGTATTATTAATTATTAATTGACAAAAAGGCTAAAGTTCCAGCTTCTTATGAGTTTTGTGTTACTTATGGATAATTATTTATTTATAACACATTCATTTGCAAACTACCTGTGCAGGATAGTCGATCCCTGCTGATGAACTAAATGCATGAGGTACAATATTCATTCCTCCATCTGAAGTAGCACGAAAAACTCCAAAAAGCTCTCTCCTCTCATATTCAAATAGGAATAAGACCATTCCGCATTTAATCTGCTTCACAAAGCTAGCCCGGGACAACGGACTGCCCATGACTTTCTTCTTAAAGCATACCCTTTTAGTTGCAATATTTGACATAAAAATTGCACCGAACTCAGGGACACTTCCACAAAAACTATTCTCTTCTTCTTCAAAGTCCATTTTGAATTGCTAGAAACTGCCAAGATAATAAGATACTGATAATAGTAGGGCACAATTTTCATGCACACAAATGGAAGCATCAACTCTTATCACTTTTTATAATAAAATATCCAATGAAAACGAAAAAAATCAAATACTATGTGACTACTTGAGTACTTTATGTACCAGCAATATAGTTGAGAATAAAGGGACATGTACATGTACCATAGAAGGGGTTACAATGGAAAACTAATTTAATGTCAATCTGAATAAATTCAAGTTGAGTTATACAAAAAAGAACGAAAACCATCATATTAGAAGTCTTAGGACCTTCTCGTCCACCCAGTAAATGTTATGCTGCATAACTGAAGATTCTATCACAGAATAAAAGGAAGTTCTGCAGAACAATGCTTGGTGAATGAAACCATTATTATTAAGCTTTCAGCACGCATTACATATTTACATCAATAATACTTGAAATTACAGAGCAATGGCACTCAACAACAAAAGCAAGTGTCAAGAGCAAATCAGAATAATTATATAAACGAATACGGAATAGAAATAGGTGTATTTCACAACAGTATCTAATTTTTGAAATAATACGAAAAAATGTGTATACAGAATCAGCAATTTAAATAGAAGCATTCTTATAGATAAGGCAAGTCTGCACCTCTGAATCGTAGCCGTGCTTACGCTGCTCTGTAATAGATCACTGAAACATCAAAACTGATAACAAATCGTTTAGCACTGAAAATATGATTAGTTTGGTTCTATAAAAAATAATAAAGCCTATTTACCAATACATAAACCAAAAAACAAGGGGGGAAGTGACTTTGTTCTTCATCAACACACGAATCAAAACATTCCGACTCGCGATCTTATTATTATTTAACTTCCAAGACGCAGATGGTATGACGGTTGTAAAACTATGAAATATGGAGAGATTGTGATTTGTGAAGATGGTTGATAAAAATAGAATTACCGCCACTCCGCCGGATAACTACTGCAAATCAATTGAGAAGAGAAATATGTCGAAGAAAGCTAATATCGGCGGACGTCGAGTGGTTATGAACCCCTAAATATACTCTCTCCCTTCCGACAAGTTAGGATGATTTCATGGCCCTATTGGTAACGTTTATATCGGTTTTGTAAACAGTTTTTTTCCTAACTCATTAAAGATTTGCATTTTGGATTGTTTTCGACCGCACCACATAGAGACCATACTTTCCTAGTTATGAAATACGCATAGACCAGACCAGAGACCATTTCAGACCAGATCAGAAAATTTCAGTCCAAAAGAAAATATTCTTAAAATGTGTAATAATCAAATAAAAAATATAAATAAATTGTGTGTAATGTTAGCGATGTTTTCATATAATTTTTTCTTAATTTTATTTGTAAAAATTTATTTCAAAAATTTCCACATATTAACAATTTTGATCAATTCAACCACTTCAATCAAATAAGACTACTTTTAAATGTTTTCAAAAAGATACATATATGATTTTTATATCCCTTCCAGTTATAGTTACTCGGTCTACCCCATAACTTATAGTTATCTGAATCGATCAGTTGTAGTTCCTGATCTAATCAGTTACGGATACTCTATCGGACCAGTTATAATAACTCGATCCAATAGTGATCACTGCTAGCCACCAACACCGGTCATCACCACCAGTAAATGCAATATCACAATAGAAAAAGTTTCATTAAATAAAAGGGCATACACATATTGTACGCATAAATAATCACTTTTTGGTTCTAGAGCAAGGGCTCAAGCCGAGAAGGTCTAACAACTATGAGATGGGTGTAACACTTGTGATTTAATTTAAACGAATTAATAGTACTACTCATACCAACAAGATGCATATCCTTTTAAGGGAGCTCATTAGCCAAGAACTCCAAAGTTAAGCGTGTTTGCCCGAGAGTAGTCTTGGGATGTGTGACCCCCTGGGAAGTTTCTCGGGGCGCGCACGAGTGAGGACAAAGTGCGCGGAAAAGGCTAGTGGCGGTTTGTGAGAACAGTACTAGAGGTCCAGAGTAACTACCTCGGGTCCTGCGGGACTGGGGTGTTACAGGTGGTATCAGAGCAACCCTGCGACAGTGTGCTGATCCGTTGGATATCGGGCGGGCACTTAGCAGGGGAAAAGATTCTGGGATATGATTGAGATTGGTTTATGGGCGCAACGAGGACGTTGCGCTCCTAAGTGGGGGTGATTGTAACACTTGTGATTTAATTTAAACGGATTAATAGTACTACTCATACCAATAAGATGCATCTCCTTTTAAGGGAGTTCATTAGCCAAGAACTCCAAAGTTAAGCGTGCTTGCACGGGAGTAGTCTTGGGATGGGTGACCCCTGAGAAGTTTCTCAGGGTCCGCACGAGTGAAGACAAAGTGCGCGGAAAAGGTTAGTGGCGGTTTGTGAGGACAGTACTAGAGGTCCGGAGTAACTACCTCGGGTCCTGCGGGGATGGGGTGTTACAATGGGTTTGACGACTGAGGATAAGGGCATGCATAAATTGGAATATAATGTAGGAGATGGGGAGGGGAGTCTTCAAAGTCACTAGACCCAAGAGTTCAAAGTCTAACCTTCTACTTTAACATTACATATTTTCTTTAAGAATCCTCAATTCTCTATTTTAACTAGAGTCTTTGTGATAGGTTGAGTTAGGTTTGAGGTGAATTGGAAGGCATTGATATTCTTTCAGTCACTAGACTTGAGTATTTTCTGGTTGATGCTTAGGGTATCATTTTTTTTTTCAAAAATGATTGACTACGTGTCCAATCATAAGGCTTATAGTTGAATTTTAAATATCTGTCTAAACACTTATTTGTACCTTAACATGCCCAGAGTCTCACTTAAAGGAATCTATTTAGTTTGCTTGGTTTTCTTAAGTAGGAAAATAGATCAAATGAGCTCTTCTAATATTTTCAATATGTCGCTTAAACCCATGTACTAAAAAAGTATCATATGAGTACGCCTACTCTAAAAAATTGATCAATTTAACCATTTAATCAAAAATATGAGTACGCATATTTTTAATATTTAAAAACTTTAAAATTGTTAAAATTTGACGAAATAAATACCAAATTTGATGAAAAACCAACAACTTTTTCACAAAATTATAAAAACTTGAAAAAACAATTCCAGTAAATTTTTCTCATGGCTTCTCTGACTAGTTGCGCCGAAAACAGGTGTTGGAGGCTTCAAGGTTGAGTAGTTGAGTAGGAATTACAAAACTTATATTAATTGAATAAAGATTAGTTACATTTTTAAAAAAATAAAAACAAATCATTTTTAAAAATTTTCAATAGAAGTGCAATATTTTTGGGATTTCTAGTGACATAGTCACGTAGTGTATCCATCCGTGACTTGGTAAGCCCTCACCATTCTAATTTTCCTTTTACTATTATGACACCCATGCGATGCACTGGAGAGTCAAATTCAACCAAATACATTACAATAAAATATGAACAGACGAACTTAAAATTTAATTAAAGGGCTTATATAGTATTGATTAAAAATCAGGTCAATGACCAACAAAAATTGTGAAGCACTTCTCAATCATTCAATTTGAAACGCTATGAAACACTTCTTTATACACAATATTATAGATTTTATTATTCGTCCCACCTTCATGGTTTCCAATGAGATTGATTTTTCAACTCTCGATGATTGGAACAACCACACAAAGTTGTCCATGAGTAAACGCATGTTTTTCAACAACAGATCAACACGTGATAACGATTGTCCCTGACTTTTATTTATAGTAATCACATAAGAAGTTATTGTTAGGTATCGTCGCCTCTGAAATTTGAGACCTTTTGTCTCAATCTCACGCCAGTTAAGTCTTTCCATCCAGAATATGATCATCCAGGCGTGTTAATATGAGACGTGTTCCATTACACATGAATGATCTATATTTCGCAAAAGCATGACGGAAGTCCCAACCTTCAAAAAAAAAGTCCCAACCTTCAAAGTCAACTTATAATTTGGTACTTCAACATCTTTATACTATTTAAGAACTTTGATGTATTCAATCTTGACATGAGATTGGTAGTAGAACCCACTTTACAAAGTCTATCTGCGCTCAGATATGTTCTTGCAACCTCTCGATAATTTAGATTCGTCACATAGTCACTCACTGCGTCGACAAAAAAGTCAATAAATAGGTAAAATAGAAGGGTACATAAGGCTTTTAAAAATATAAAATATTGTTGTAGTGAAAGGGTTATGAAAGTAGTCTTTTATTTTTTGACTTTTTGTCTCAAACACTCAAATGGAAGAGATTTTTTTCAAATAATAAAAATAAATGATTGACACAATCAAATGGCCAAAATAAATCTCCAAATCAAAAGATTGGCTAACACAGTCAAACAGTCAAAAGAATACCCAAAATTTTTTATCATAAAAGAGTCATCGTTGTATTACAATCGTGAGCACATACAAGACAACCTTCAGATATAATTTACATATCCAATCGTGAATCATAGGAGTCAACTTAGACTAAGCCACCTCATACAAAGCAACATGACTCGCTAAACCTGAAACATGCAAATTTAGGCCTAAGACGATCGGAATCAGAACCCTGCCTATCAAAAGAACTCCAAAAATTCTCATTCAAACCAAATCTACTCGGACTAAAACAGAAACAAGTGCTACCAAAGAGAAAATAATATTGGATTAAAATCTTTCCACAAAGCTCTTCCTGGTATGGAGGTGGTTCCGGAGGAGGAGGATGTTACGCCCCGGACCGCATCTGTGCCACGTAGACAATCGCCGTACAATCCAATAAAGATAACAATCATTCATTTCTATTAAATTATACAAGGCGTCTGATAGATTCTATTGCCAAACTGATTAGTAAACACATACAATCAACATCAATATCATAATCAAACAAATGCGGAAATAGTATGTTTGATATTTAGCCACACGTGGCAAACACGGGCACGCAGTCCCCCAAATGTTTTAATAGAAAACATTGTTGAAAATGTCCATGAGCATAATTATAAGTTTGAATCGAAATGGGAAGCACAAACCACGTCTTCCTTATTTGACAATCACCTTATGCAAAGGTGCAAGTAGTAGGACTCTATCCCTAACATGAAAAATAGTGAGGCCCCAGAGGGGTCAGTACTTCAACAAAAAGAAGTAATAGTGACAAGCAAGCTATATGAGGAATAACTAATGTTCAGACACGAGACCCAAAAATATGGTGATACATATATATAGTTGTAACTCATCCACCAAATGATACATACTGTGTGTGTGTGTGTGTATATATATATATATATGTGTGTGTGTGTGTGTGTGTGTGTAAAATACTTAACCCGTAGGTCATTTACCTTTAAAGAATATTTTAGAGATAAAGTCCTCACCCGAACATTTCTCATCCTTGACCCCGAATGTCTAGCTCATAAGCTACATTCTACCTTCGTGATATATTACCGAGTGTTTTAGGATCATTTACCGTCCAAGGGTTCTCAACCCCAACCTGGAGTATTCTGGATCATTTACCGCCCAAGGGTACTCAACCCCAACCTGGAGTATTCTGGATCATTTGCCGTCCAAGGGTACTCAACCCCAACCTGGAGTATTATGGATCATTTATCGTCCAAGGGTACTCAGCCCCAACCTGGAGTATTTAGGATCATTTACTGTCCAAGGGTACCCTACCCCAACCTTATTCTTACCAAATCCTAACCTGGATATGGCTATCATTTCATTCATTCAACTATGGACAATACCTAGTCCTATAGTCATATAACAATCCCTGGTAACCAACGTGGACGGGTCCCACCCGAACGGCCCACGTTAACCCACTCAAAAACTGCCCAATTTGGGTATAACCTAATACCCGGTTGGGTATCCAACCATACCCGGTCGGGTATGGTGAGGCTAGGGGTGGGCATAACGGTTCGGTTTGACCGAATCGAACCGTATCAAGCCGAATTAAACCAAACTGAAACCGAACCATTTGTAATTTGGTTTGAGTTTGGTAGTATTCCTCCCAACCCGTATTAAACCGAACCAAATCGAACCGAAATCATAAAACCGAATAAAACCGAACTAATCTAAAAATGAAATAATTTCTTATTTTTTTAAAATAACAAATCAAAACCAACTTAAACCAAACTAACCAAACCAAAATATAAGATTTATCTCATTAATTT